AATCATTTATCTGCTCTGCCCACGTTGTGTTATTTGATCACAGTGCAGTGAAGATTGAATTTTCTTTCGCACTTAAGAGCTGGATCGTTTTGGCGGAACCGTGCTATGAAAAAGAACAAGAATTCTTCAATCGGTGAAGACACAAATATCATTACATATAATGAATAAGGCTGCTGGATTAATTTTCATCCAATATAATCGTTGATACAACAAAATTAACTCTTCACATTCGACTCCCTATCGTGACACTTTATATCTTGCTTCTAAAACTTAGAGCGGGTTAAACATTCACATGAGATGCTAGGACGGACAATTTCAGCAGCAGGTCACGTGGGATTCAACAGCGAACGAGTGAGCTGTTGAATCATCTCAGCCTTCTTCAACGGCAGCTTTTACTGCCGGCTTCAACCGATCGTTCGATTTATATGCATCGCGCCCAACTCTCACTATCTCTAAAAGCTAATTATTTATTGTACTTTCTTGAAATATTCTATTCATCGCCTTGCTTATTTTTCGTTTGTTCTTGAAATTACTTTTCGTACTTCCGTTCATAATTTAGCTTTCTCTATTTATTTCATTCTTTTTTTTTAATTTTATATTTTCCTTATTTTTGTTCTTTTTTCCTTCTTTTATCTCATTCTCCTATCTGTTTCTTTCTTTTAATTACACTTTTTTTTCTTGATTTATCTTTCTTTTTATTCGCATTTCTTCATTCCCGTTGTATTTTTAATGTTATTTATTTTTATATTTATTTTTTCTTTCTCCTACTCTTTCTTTCTTTCTTTCTTTCTTTGTCCTGCTCTTTCTTTCTTTCTTTCTTTCTTTTTTTCTTTCTTTGTTCTGCTCTTTCTTTCTTTCTTTTAATCTCCTTTATAATTATGTCTTTTCTTTCTTCTGCTCTTTTTTCTTTCTTTTAATCTCTTTTTGTAATTAAGCATTTTCTTTCTTCTCCTCTTTCTTTATTTCTTCTGCTCTTTCTTTCTTTCTTTCTTTTAATATCCTTTATAATTATGTCTTCTTCTGCTTTTTCTTTCTTTCTTTGTTCTGCATTCTTTCTTTCTTTTTTCTTTCTTTCTTTCTTTCTTTTAATATCCTTTATAATTATGTCTTCTTCTGCTTTTTCTTTCTTTCTTTCTTTCTTTGTTCTGCATTCTTTCTTTCTTTCTTTCTTTCTTTTAATATCCTTTATAATTATGTCTTCTTCTGCTTTTTCTTTCTTTCTTTCTTTCTTTGTTCTGCTTTCTTTCTCTCTTTCTTTCTTTCTTTCTTTCTTTCTTTCTTTCTTTCTTTCTTTCTTCTGCTCTTAATTTCTCTCTTTTAATCTCTCTTATAATTATGCCTTTTCCTTCTATTTTCTTTTTTCTTTCTTTCTTTCTTTCTTTCTTTCTTTCTTTCTTTCTTTCTTTCTTTCTTCATTCCGGGTTCCTTTTGTATGCACATTAACTTGACTTTATTTCACCTTTCTTTCTCTGGTATTATATGCCATCAAACTTTCCCACGGTACGACTTTGCCGCAAATCATTCCAGCGTGACCAATGCAAGAGATCACACAAATGTTGAAGACACGACACTTAATATCTGTAATCAGGTTCTTGATTGAGGAAAATAAAGGAATATAAGTACAAAAAAAACTGAAAGAAAGAAAAAGAATAATCATGTCTTCAAGGCCTCGATCATATGATCATACATTGGAACACTTGGGTCCAGACAGTGACAGGAGGTAGGTGCGTATATCTTACAGGCGCCAGTGGCCGGTATTGTAGTGCAGGTAAAAAAAAAAAAAAACAGATTTTTTATGTTGACTTTCAAGTCAAGTAATTCAAAAGAATTTAGAAGATGGAAGCAATACAGTCCCTGTTTCTCGTTCTTAAATTTTCTATGGGCGGAGATTTATGTGGCTGACTGAACAACCATTTGTTTACAACCAAATTGTTCTTTGTAATATAAATGTATATATCGCTAATGACATCCATACATGATTACACACACACAAGCGCGCGCACACTCACACACAAGCGCACACAGACATATACACACATAAACAAACAAACAAAATATGTTTCGTCTATGTGCTTCAAAATATATCTTTTATTTGTCGTGCGCGTTCAGGACATGACATGAGCCGTCATGGCTCTCCACAACATCCTATACTATGTAGTTTGTCATAGTGTTATAGTGGAACACGCCTATTCTATAGTTAATAGACTCTCCCACCTATAATAAGTAGGAGTAGTAAGAGTAACGAGTCAGTCGGTCAGTGAGTCGACTAGCTGATCGGTTAAACTCTGTGCTTTCGGGCGGAGATGAACCCGAAAGAGGCTACGCCGAAGGGCGGATTCTCTTTCAGGGAGGTAAACCGACCCTGAACCCGTTTATACGGGTTCAATGGGCATATTTTTGGCCGAGCCCACGGGCTCGGAGATCCCACGTTAAAAAGGCCTTGTACCACATGACGCCCTCATGGTGGGGGGGGGGGTGACTGAATATTGTCGGTCAGTCAGTCGATGCCGGACGACCGTTAGTCGGATACTAAAGTATCAGCGACCACAACTAGATTACTCTGCGTCATTACATATTATATCAAGTTCCTAACGTTTTGTACGTCGAACCTATTTTAGGACCGACTTAGTACAAATAAAAGCCTCCACTGTGAAATCACTCCGCAACACATAGAAATAGCTACAGAGCAGTGAGAAGCTTGCAACATTTCATCTGTGCGAAAACGGCTGTGAGATGAAAAATAATGCATCAACCAAAAGGATGAGGAGTCGCTTTTGGACTGTGTCGTGACTAGAAAGTGAAGACTGGGTAGCCCCTGTCTATATTTAGCAGAAGTATTCCATTTTCGGCCTAATCTGACTCTTGTTAAAGGTTGAGTAGAATTTAATCTTTTAATTTGTCTTCTGGCATCTCGTCTACAGACGCTCTCCCGTAGACGTGCCGTCGCCTCCGTCTGTCTTTTCTACAAATACTTTTACGGTAACTATTTTGACGAGCTATTTTCGCTAATTCCCAAAAGTGCTACTTGGTCCAGCATCTCCGTCCCACACTTTCACTGTCAAAACGGTTAAATGTAGCCATCTCTTCTACTCCAATAGCTTCATGTCTCGCTCTTCCCGTCTGTAGAACTCCCTTCCTCTTACTTGCTTCCCTGATAGCTATAATCTTCAACTATTCAAATTCAATATCAATCGATACCTCCAGATGCATTGATCTATTCCCCGTTCTTCTCTTTATCCTTTTCTCTATCAAGCCACTTTACTCTTGCTCCCGCTCTCTGCAACCCCTTGCGAACGACTGGCACTCCCGCCTTGCTTGAGGTGAAAAGAATATATATATATTAAAAAAGAGAGAGTTTATAAAATATATATATATATATATATATATATATATATATATATATATATATATATATATATATTATTCATCATATGAAGAATAAAAATATAATATACATGCTTAAACAAATATACATTATGACCAAAAACGTTTGCGGTTTTTTTTTTTTTTAAATATACATTTTTCTCTCATTGTAACAACTATAACCTTTTCCATATATATATATATATATATATATATATATATATATATAGAGAGAGAGAGAGAGAGATAGATAGATAGATAGATAGATAGATAGATAGATAGATAAGTATATAAATATATATATTGAATAAATTTAAATTTACTGGAAACATTGAGAATAAAAAAATATTGATTTATAGTTATACATTCAAAAAGTGTATGAAATACACGGCGAATTTTCGACAGTAAATTGAACTTAAAAGATATATACATATGCATACGGACTATGAAAGAATATTTTGAAATCACAAAGAAAAATCATAGAAAAACTGCTGAACGTGAAAAGAACAGACGCTTAAAAAATCTGTAAATACTAAAAGCTTCAAATACATCAGTGTATGGATAATCTATAATAATTTTAGTATAGGAGACAAGGAAATCGGGCATAGAATAGGCTGCCTTAAAGGTAGTTTTGCACAACATCTCAAATTGCGATAAAACCAAAATATTAATATGACGATTTTAGTCATCTTCCTAAATAGCATCGTCAGATCGAGACATTTATATTGATGTTATGCATGACGTCAAACCCTTTCTGAATAATCTAAACTATGCAATGTGATAGGTCTTGATCTGGCATCTTTCTCACAGACGTGCATTGATTTCCCTCTGTCTCTTCTACAAGTATTTTCACAGCAACTTTGTTCCGACGAGCTACTTTCGCAGATTCCCGGACTGCATGAATTTAAGCGATCTACTTGGCTGACATCTCGGCCCCACCCTTTTACGGTTAAACGTAACCATTTCTTCTACTCAAACAGCTTCTTTTCTCGCACTTCCCGTCTGTGGAACTCCGTTCCTTTTGCTTGCTTCCCCGTTAACTATAACGTTCAAATGTTCAAGTGCAATGTCAATCGACATCTTCTGATACCTGAGTCTTGTTCCCCGTTCTTCTCTGTATCCTTTCCTCAGACACACGTCTTTACTCTTGTTCTCAGTCAACTGTAACCCCTTACGTGTTAGTGGCACTCCCGCCTTGCTTGGGGTGAATTGCTTAAAAAAAAAACCAACAGCTTTCTCTAATCAATGGATAAAAATTGTTATGGGCGAGTGAAGCCTGTAGGCCTTGGTGAGAAAACATCCTTCTTCGAACATTGGCTGGCGCTACATGATCACGAGCAAATAGCTATACTAAATAACAGAAATTACATTACATGAAGAGTTTCAAGAGCAGGAACATTAAAAATGAATAGCACATGTGACACGAATAAAAATAATTACATAATCAAGATGTTGACATTACAAATAAAAGGTTAGGAAAGAAACCTCCATTAATACTGGACTTGAGAAAAACTTTTTTCCTGAAAAATTGTTTTATGAAAATGATTCCATAAATTTCAATTGACAGTAATGTTAGCTATTCGGACAGTGAAATACCGAATGCTTCCTTATAAGGTAAGGGCTTACAGCTGCATCACGTTGAAACACCAGTTCTCGTATGGTCACCGAAGTTAAGCAACTTCGAGACAAGGCATTACCTAGATCGGTGACCACTTGGGAATACCAAATGCTGTAAGCTGGGTTGTACGGGTGGTGTAATGGATCTCGGAATTGCAACTCAGAAAGCCACGTTTCAATTCCAGTCGGGTTCATTATCTTCACTTAGGCGTAAATATCCATGGGAAAGATATGCTAAAATTTACATTATTTGATTTATTCATTTACTACCACTTATTAACCCTTTGCAGGTTATTCAAAGACATATTTCTTTTCTTTTAGAGTGTAAGAATTTTTCTTTGCGATAATCATTATCTAATGATACACGTCTGACTAATTAACCCATAGCTGGGGAGAGGAGTGGTGGATTCATATTTATTCCAAGGGTATTTGCGAGTAAGCGAATTTAAGAAACTCAACTGAAATTAGAACTCGGCTCTCCTGTTAACCCCGAGCCGTTATTCATTACGCCATCCACGGTTACAGAACCTGGAATTCTCAAACTGCCACTCATCTATCAAGGTACTAAGACGCAAGAAGTTACAAATATTAAAAAAAAAATCATAAATTACTCTTCTGTTAAGCTGTGGCTCACCTAGCTACCTTTCAGAGTGCATTAACCCCTTGCTCGGAGTAGACGTGTATATAGGTTTTTACCGAAAATGTCTTTCTCAGACACGGACGAATAAACATGTCCAAGATATAACGTTGAAAAACCTGCTACCGTCGTTTTTATATGGCGATCTTGATTCTTATTATCCCCTTCTGAGCTTGGAACGAGTCAATTTGTCAACTCATACGTCTGGTAGAGGGGTTAGCCACCGCTCGGGTACTTCAAGGTACCTCAGTTTCATAGTTACTATAGTGTTCTTTCTTTCTTTTTATGTGCCCTCTACTTTCAGGGCGTAGTCGATCATGGCTCTCCACCTCTCTCTATCCCTTACAGCTCTCAACAAGTTCCTCCCCACTGCCACCTTCCTCAAACCACGTTCTGTTATCCACTTGCTTAAGGCCGCTAGGTATGTCATGCTTTCTTTTCCCTTGTCTCTCTTTCCCTCTATTCGACCCGTGAGTATCAAATTCTCCAGGCTGTTTTTCCGCATTATGTGTCCCAGAAACTTCAGCTGCCTCTTCCTGATATTAAGTATAAGCCCCCTCCTTGTTTGCAACCTCTCTAAGACATTATCGTTGCTCACACGTTCGGTCCATGATATCCTTAGCATCCTTTATTAAAATCAAATAAAAAAATCGTCTAGAAATGAAACGTTTTTCCAAAAATAATTGACGTGGAAGGGGTTAATGTGCCTAGGTTAACCGGTTGAGAAACGCCGCGCTAGATCCTTATTCTTGCCAGTCGGTTTCAGTGTTCAGGAATTTTTTTCTAAGCACTTCATGTTTGTAAAACCCGTAACAAAAGCAATTTACTTCGCATTCCATGCCATTTTTATTTTTTGTCTTTTTCTTCTTTTTTTTTTTTATACAGCTGTACAATTTGCTGGAATCTCCTTAATGCTAACATTTCCTCTGACTTTCAAAGTCCCCGGCTATTTCTTCTACAATATTCTCGTGATTTGGGAAAAGGGCACGTTCCGCACGTATGTTAAATCCGACACTTCTGCTGGTAGGTAAGTATTTATTTAATGTTTCTGTGCTTAAAGAGAAGGCAATGGAGTTTATCGGTAAATAAGTACTTTTACTCGCCTCATTGAGAAGGACATGGCAGACAGGCTCTTCCCACGAGTAGATTCTGTGTCGCAGGTGCGTTTATGGTTCTACTGGTAAATCTATCCTGTGCAGGTCAGGTTTTCTTTTAAAAATATACCGATGGCAAATGTACTTGGGAAATGAACATCTTAGAATAGAGTTTCTTTGCATCTGAAGTTTCCAGACAGATATCATTGACTAATGATCTAATTCGAGGCAGCCTACGAAAAGTATAATATATTTCTAGGTAGGACACTGAGTGAGAATCGAAGTCGCTACAGTTATAATTTTAATCTTTCGCTATTTGTTAAACCTCATCAGATATTTTTGGAAGGGTGATAATGCGGGGTTTATGTTTTAATAAGTAAATTCCATGTTGTTTTCTTTGGATTTTATTCTGTAAATTCACCCCCAAAATATTACTTCACCCCAAAATAAAAAAAAAGAATTTATATTTACTAAAATTAACACCAAATTCTCCTAGAGCGTGACCCTTCCATTGCACTCCGGTTTTGTCGAACTTTGCGATCGCCCCAGAGTGTGGGGTCTGTATTCGCGCTCACTCTGATAAACAAGTCAAATACAGAGTTTTGTTTAAATTGTAAAATAGTCCTTTTAAGTACCTTGAATATTATCTGCACTTACAAAATGTAAGTAACTCCCGGATTTTTGGTAATTTTTCAATCTGAGAGTTGGAGTTGTTGCGAGGCAAGCTAAACAAATTTTGATTTAAAATGTATCATTTCAAAAGAGTGCCAACAATTTAATAAAAAAAAATAAACAAACTTTGATTTAAAATTTATTATTTCAAAAGTGTGCCAACAATTTAATAAAAAACAAACTTTATTTAAAATTTACAATTTCTTGGGGTGAATTAATATTTGCGATAAGTATGTATTTGGGGTGAATTAACAGAAAAGATTCATTGGTATCTGTCTATATATTTCTGAGATGAGGTATTATGTACACTATTTACATTATTTGGACTATTGTCCTCATCTTTTTCTTTTATATTTACTGGTTTTTTAGAATTTACCGCGTATATTTTATGAAGCGTGTGTTTATGTATGCATTCATATTTGATTTCTATGCATGTTTTACATTTTCTGATTGTCTCGACGTCACGTGAAAAACGTATAATTTGTTGAAATATTGAAGTAATTTAAGAAAATATTATAAATTAGGCCCAGTGTATTTTAATTCTTTTTTAATCATTTCACCCTAAGCAAGGGAATAACACCTCTAAGACGCAAGAGGTTATGCAAATGGTAGAGAATATGAAGAAAAGCACTATTAAGGAGAGAGAACGGTAAAAAAATACGAATTAAGTAGACAGAAGATAACGATTGACATTGCCCGTAAATTTCTGAAGACCAAAGTTGATTGGGAAACAAGAAACCAGAACAGAGTTCTACAAGAGAGAAGAAACCATTAACATAGGACTTTCGGGTGCATCTAAGCGTTTTAACTGTAAAATGATGAGGCCCCGCCGAAAATTTGGTCAGTCAGTCAGTTAAGAGCCATACGTGATACACTTTTGGGCGATCATGTATCTTTCGATGATGAGGCAGATTTTTCCCGCGATATGTTGCCATTTCCGGTAGACTGGACTCCAATCAAGGCTAAAGAATCCAGTCTGTCCTGTTATTCAACCCATAGCAGAGATGGATTCATACCTTTCTCAAAGGTATTTGTGCGTAAGTGAATCTAAAGAACTTGACTGGTATTCGAACTCGGCTCTCCGTGTTCTCATTCCGACTCGATATTCATTACTCATCTACGCACATCCACCACAACGCACAATCTGGTACTGCGCTTAAATTCATAAAGTCTAGGTACCGTAGAGGAGAGATTATCAGAACAATTATAATTAAACTATTTATAGAATAGGTACAGGGATTCTACATTAGGGCGGTGGGGAAGTGACTGGAGCCGAGATGCCAGGTCAGGACCAATGACACTGCAGATAAGACGAATGATGGAATATATGATGTAATGTTAGGTTACATAAATTATATTTATACAAACGCAAATCTAATGACAGCGTTGGGTAGAATCTGTCTAGTCTGTGAAAAAATTTCCTGAGGGACATGGTTTTGTGTTCACAATGATTAGTTTTCAATTACCTGGTGCACTGTGAAAATATGTATAGGTGGGTTTCGAAAAAAGTTATCTGAAAAAGTAAGTTGGACATTTAGTCTTATTTTGCGAAGTGAACTGGATCAAGAACAATTCAGAATATATATATATGTATGTATATATATACAACACACACACACACATATATATATATATATATATATATATATATATATATATATATATATATGTGTGTGTGTGTGTGTGTGTGTGTGCGCGTGTGTGTGCGTGTGTGGTGCTTTAGATGTAGCACAAAGTAGAAAGTAGGGAGCGCGGTACGAGTATCAAATTCACTCAGTCAGTTTTATGTGACACGCGGGATACATGCTTAAGCGATCATGTATCTGCCTCATCAATCATGTATCTTTCGATACATGACTGATGAGGCAGATTTTTCCCGCAGTAGGTTGCCATTTCTTTCTGCGGTAGACCAGTTGCCATCCAAGTCTATAGAACCCGGTCTGTCCTGCTATTTACTCATAGCGGGGGGGGTGCGGAGGATGAGAAGAAGCGGATTCATAGCTTTCCCATGGGTATTAATGGGTTTGGCTGAAATTCGAACTCGGCTGTCTGATTCCTCAATCCGAGCCGCTATCTATTATTCCACCGCGCCTCCTCAGTACGCGCTCACAATTGCTCCAGCGAGACAAGCTTGCTAACCCTTACACCTCGTCGAAGGGCTCTGCTTATTTGTGTTTGTGTGTGGGTGTGAGTGGGTGTCAAGTTTACATCCAACTAAAAATATAACTGTAAAATTCGATTCCTGTCGGAGGCACACCTTTTCTGTTTAATAAAATTAAATAAAAAACAAAGATAGTAACTCAAACATATCTACCCACTAAAAATAATGTCAGATGAAAATATTTCCTTTACGGTTATCACGACAAATATTGTATATGAAAAATCAGAAAAAATAAATAATACGACACACCTACGTCGCTCTGTCAATTCGATATTTATTTTTATTTTATATGTAATGATACGTAAAATAATATGGTCGCACGCCGCGATGTATAAATATTTTGATTTGCTGAATATTGAATTGGTTCAAAAGTAAAAACAAATAAATACAGATGGAAGAACATGTGGAAAAAGATTTTAAAATATTATCAAAAATAATTTTAAAAAAAATCGTTTAGCTGTTTATCGTAATTATATCTGTCAACCAAGAGAGTATTATTAATAAATTTAAAAAGCTAACCTACAAATATATTGTCGATATTTTTGAGAAGTTGTG